AGGACTCCAGCTCACTGTGCTGTCTGCAGATTTCTGGAACTCTAAAGCGAAGACATTATAGATCTAGAAACCCCACAATCAACACTGTCCATATATTCCCCAGCACCGAATCACACATTTGGGGATCGATGTAGCATCATGACATGCCATCCACGAAGGGCACTGTCTGGTGTGAAAGGTAAGGCTGCTGCTGACCCTGGCAAGCACACACTCCTCGAAAACAAAACTGTCCACATTATTTGAGTTATGTTATGTCTTGGGGGAAAGAGCTTGCTCCCCTTAGTTCTGTGGGCTCACTATGGAATAGACGGCATTGAGAGTGCTATCAAATCACAGCTGAAAGGATTTCCATCCATCAAGCTGTCTTGGGTCCAGGACTCCCTCAAGCAGCAATTCACAGTGACCACCACCGGCCCCCTCCCCAGGTAACATACACCAAAATGGACCACCCCTCAAATGATGCTCACTGTTCCCAGACTCTCTAAATGGATTCTGAGTACCTTACCAACAAAACAAAATGTTCAGAACGTCAAGACAGATCACAGATCAGGGGACATACGCTCATCCAGGAATAACAATTTTAATTGCTTAAAAAGAAAAGGAAATTGAAGGGAAAGAAAATACCTCCCCACCTGCCAGGTAAGGGCTTACAAATCGATGGTCATAGCTTGAAAATAGATTTTTCAAACTTATATTCTCATTTTGTCCTGCCCGAATCTCTGCTGGAAAATCAATATTACAACTTCACGCTTAAGACATTTTGCAGCGACACAAACTGCAGAAGCTGCTGCCGTGGCCGATGCTGCTGCTGCTGCTGATGGACGCGGGTTCCCAGGCATAGCATAGCGGCGGAGGCACCGCAGCCATGACACGGGCACCGAGCGCCCCCTAGCTGACGAGAAGCGCTAGGCGAGGCTTGGAGCATCAGGCTTGCCATGAACCAAAAGCCAATTCCACCGAAAGTTTACTTTGGAAAGTATTTTATCACAACAAGCAACAAAGAATGCAAGGCAATGGAGATAGGAGGTGAAAAATGGATACATAAAGGAGGGGAGGAGCAGGCAGGAGGGAGAGTCTGATTAGGCGCTGAAAACCTGTTCGCTGCTGTAGGAAACTGGAGTCTGTAACTAGACTGTTTTACACACATCCATTTCATCTGAGACATAGTTCTAATTATGGTCAAATACACCGAAAGTTGACCTTTCCTCTGGCCAAAGAAGACCCGCTGGGTCCTTCTGTGGTAAGCTGAGAAGTGCATCTAGCCATCTAATCCTGACCCTCCCAAGTCTCTAAGGCCAGGTCCCCAGGAGCAACGGTATTCACCCCAAGACTGAAGAGCCGACTTGTTTTTTCTGTTATGAAGTATCCTAAAGACCAGACAAAATTTGCCAAAGCCCAGGCTCAGGCAGATAGCAACCTTCCCCCCTCCAGACAATAAACATGCATATACACAAAAATCTTCAAATAAGAGGGGGCGGGAATGCCCTTTAACAATATTGGGGTTGTTAAAATATGCTCATGGCTGTTTTCTCTCCGGTGTGAATTACAAATGAATAAAACCAACCTGGCATGACACCTTTGACGAACACATTTTTATTCTCCCATGGAATCCAAGCTGCTGACATATCACACTTCTAACGACACGGGGTTCCCTTCTGGGCAAAAGGGGGACAAACATCATTGGCCCTACCCAACTACCAAAAAAGAGAAAAATAACAGAGGGCCCAGGTCCTGTGAAATTTACCAGAGACACAGTTCAGTAAGATAAGTGGGCCATTATAGACATGCCGTAGCCTAGGCTTCAGATCATTGTGAACATAGCCACCTTTAAAACAGACAACATCACAAAACCCAACTTGAAGCGGCTAGTATGGGATTAATACAGCTAGCCTAACTTCTGCAGCTAATTTTGGGTCTCCGGTTGTTGTGCGAAATCATGAGTGCATACAAAAAAAAATTACTAGTCTTCCTTGGAAACCTGTTGGTGGGTTATTGAAAAGTTGGCTTAATTAGGGCTGTATAATTGACCACTCCATTTTACCTCCTTTATTTCTTCAGAAAGCCTTGAGCTTTTCCACCGACTGTAAAGTACATTTCCTTCTGCCTGACCCTGCCTGGCATGGCCTTTCCCTCTGCCTGGCCAGCGGCTGCCTCTCTTACCTCCGTCTACCATTGTCCCCATGTCTTGTGTTTGTTTTTATTAATGGCTGTGTCTGTCCTCCTGTTTGAAAAGCCGCATCCATCTGGGTCAAACATTTTGAAACAAGCCAGAAGCCCAGGTTTTCCTCTCCAGCTGTCTCCCACTCTCTCAGCTCCCTTACTCCTCTTCTTACCGCCCTGGCTGTAAAACGTAACTAACTCATCTCAGGAGTCCTTCTCCTACCCCCATCCCCAGCACACCAAGACCATGGATGCTATTTTTGTGCTTTTCTGGTTTCCTAGGCCATCAGTGATTCTAAGTTGCATCATCCCCAAAGAACCTGAAGCTTGCCCCACAGGCCCAAGACTGCCACATTTTAGATGGTTTCCTTCACATCTGAAATCTCACATGTGGGCGCCTGTAGGGGCCTGTGACACCACCTGCTTTGCTGGCCAGGACCTCAGAGCCCTTGCAATCAGGGATCCGGCATCCCAGGGTTTGCGGCTAGTCATGTTCCCCAGGCCACTGTGCATCTCCTGCATCCCTGTCTTGTCTTGCCACCTCCGGGGTGACACAGCACAGACAGAAAAGCCAGCTGCTTCGGGATAAGCAGCATTTCCTGAGCGCTGGTTGGACCACTCTCCTTGCTTAAACCCCTTAAACAATACCCAGGCTCCCAGGGCCCCCGGAAGGCAGGTAGAATTGCTTAGCAGCCTGGTCTCTTGGCCCTCTTTTCTTCCCAATACTCTTTGCCTTCTCTGCCTCTGCTGCAGCGTCAGCTGGCTTTTCCCAGCTGCTCTGAGCAAGGGCGAGACAGTGAACCAATGCAGAATGGAAGGATGTCACACCAAGCACCCCTCACCCCCAGGCCCAGCTGCCATCCGGCCCTCTGATCAGAGCTTGCTCAGGATGTCCCAGGGATGCCCAGCGAGGGACAGCAAACCTACTTGCCTTTTCCCGAATACTCAACTGCAAATGCTCCTGTGCCGGGACTACCAGTCTCTCTCCCTTCCAATCGACTCTCCCCTCCTCAAAAACAATCCTTACAATTATACAGGGGCTCCCAGGGGCAAACTGCCTCCCGGACAAATTAGGCTCTGAAAGTATGGATGTTTTAACAACTACCTCACCTAAGGAGGGACCGGGCTGTAAAATAACCCGTGGCTGCGGCTTACTAAAGGAGGGAAATAAATGTCAAGTGGTCAAACGCATCTTGATGAGACCAGGCTCAAATCTGATTGCAAAACATTTTGTTTTAAATACAACCAGCAAGTCTCCTTTGACATTACAACATTGAAAAAATAAAGGAGACTCCTTTTCCCTCCTCCCCTAAAAGGCACCCCTCTCCCAAGAACCTCACTTTAATATATATCCCCCCAAAATAATAATAATAATAAACGCACAAATTCTTACTAACGTGTCTGCGGTAACAAAGGAGAGATGGGAAGAGCAATAGCTTCGAGCAGATGGCTCCTGTGCTGGGTTGGAGGGGAGGGGAGAGCCCCTTTATATATTTATTTATTTATTTAAATTCTTTAAAATATAACATAAATATTCGGCTCTCGACCGCAGGCCAGCCAGTCCTAGGCGGCGGCCGTGGCTCACAGCCTTCTACAGCTCCAGCGCGGGGAGCCGGGCCCCGGCGCAGCGAGGTGAGCGAAGGATTGCAAGATTACAACCTGCCTAAGGTCTCGATGGCACCCAGAGGAAATTTTATTTCTATTGCAATAAAATATAATAATAAATAAAAAGCAACCGCGACCAAAAGAACGCGGGGAGAGGCTCGAGCAGGCTGCGGCTGAGGCCGGCCCGGAGCTCTGCAAGCCGACCTCGCTGGTGCCAGCGCGGGGACCCGGCGGGCTCCCGGAGAACTGCGTACCTGCGCGGCTCGCGCTGGCGTTTTCTTTTCTAAATGAACCCAGCTGGGGCGTTGGAAGCTGCTGCGTGTCTGCCCTGCTGCCTGACTTCGCGAGCCCAGCCACTGGCTTGAAATCCGGCGGATTTGCACCGCGACCTGCCTTGTTTATTTAGATGGGGAAGATGAAAGATATTGAGATAGAGAGATGGATAAGAGGTTGATAGGTATTTTTCTCCCCTTCCTTTTTTTTCTCTTCATTTTTACTGTTATAAGCGCATCCCTCTTTTCCCACTCCTGACAATCTTTTTTTTTTTTTAACTCGTGGCGGGGATTTTTTTTTCACCAACCCAAATCCTCCCCCCCACACCTTTTTTTTTTTTTTTTTTTTTTTTTTGGAGTTGGGGGGGAAGAAGACAAGACCGTCCCAGGAGACGGAGGTGGGGAAATGGGGAGGGGGTGCTCCAGCCCAGCAAACAGCTGCGCAGCTGGATTCTTTTGCAAATAGCGAGAGGAGGGGAGGGGACGGCGGCTTCGGAATCCTAGCACCAGCGCGGCCGGCGCCCTGCCTGGCGGGGCGCAGAGACCGGGCACCGGGAGCCCGCGGCCACCCCCTCGCCCTGCGGGTCCCCGGGTCCGGGGCGCACTCGGGGCTCGGTCCGCCCGCTCCTCCGAGCGCGGACCCACGCGCTCGCCAACTTTTCCCGGCTCCCCCTCCCCCTCCGCTCCTCGGCCCCCTCCCCCTCCTCTCCAAACCCCGCCACCAGCGCCGCCGCCGCCACACACGCCGCTTGGAGGGCCGAGCGTCCAGCCCGGCTCGGCGCGCATAGCCGCCTGCAAACCCGCGTGCCCCCTCCTCGGCCCGGAGCCCGCAGCGGCTGCCCCCGGCTGCAGAAAAACTTTCCCAGGGCCCCACGCCCGGCCGCTGCGTCCGGTTTGGTGTCCCCAGCCCCGGGCGACCGAAGCCCCGGCCGCCGGCCCTTCACACGCGCCGCAAACACTTACGCGTGATGAGCTCCCTCTGGGACAAGTGCTGCGGGTTGCCCTGTTTGCGGCGGGACATTGCCCCGGCATCTATTCTGGCATCGCCCGGAGAGCTGCACAGATGCGGGCCGGGGAGGGGGTCCGAGCCGCCGCCGCCGCCGCGCCTCCTCCTCTGCCCGGGTTGGTGCCTCTGCCCTTCCTCGCTTCCTCCTCCTCCTCCTCTTCTTCTTCTTCGTCTTTATTTTGCTCTTTCTTCTGGGCTGTGTTTTTGTTTTTGTTTTTGAAAAAAGAAAAAGCCAGGAAGATGGCTTGGTCTAAAATAGAAAAGGCAAAAATAAATGATAAAACTGCTGTTGCTCGCCGCGGGTTGGCTGGTTTCTTTAAAAATATATTCTTTTGGAGGAAAAATATCTCTCACACTTCTTCAAAGTGCTTGGCCTCTTAGACTTGTAAATGTCTTCTTGAAGTTACGCCGGGTTTTGCACCGGCCTCTGACACTTTTCTTTCGGGGTCTGGTAGGTGGAACGCGCACTTCCACCCAAAGGGAGGGGGGAGGAAAATGCAAACAAATTTCAAAAAAGAAGGGAAAAAAAAAGCAAAGAAAACTTGGGGACTTGTCTCGTAACCCCTCACCCCGCCCCCTCAAAAGCCCAAAAGCAATGAAAAACTGCCTTGGTTCGGCTCTTTCTGGGTTTTCTGCGCGCTGCCTGCTTTTTTCTTTCTCGGAGGCTGACCCCTCCGAGGCTCTGGGGGACTCCGGGAGCGGCTCCTTCCCGGGTCACCTGGCAGGCTGGCGCCGGCCGGAGGGGCTGCGGGTCCCCGCGCGCGCTCCCCAGCGCTGCCGGGCGCCGCGGGCCCAGGGGGAGCGGGGCTGCGGGGCGGCTCGCCCAGTGTGCCCGGGTCGGTGCGGGCGTGGACGGGAGCTATAGATTGCAACGTGAAGATGGCGGAGTCCAGGTTCTCCGGGAGCTCTCGGTCTCTCTGTGGCTGGGGCTGCCTCTGTACAATGGGATAAAATTCAAGTTCAAGTGCGGACGTGACGTTTAATCTGCTCTAGAGACAAAAAGACCCAGAGAGTCGGAGCACTGGGGGCGACTAGCGGTGGCTTTTTAACATTGTACCCTGTAAGAGAACAAGAAAGCACACACCGAGACACGCGCGCGCGCACTCACACACACTCGCCAGTGCGCACACCCGCAACCCAGGCCGGCCACACGTGCAAACTGCTGTTTTTGTGAGCTTGTCTTATCCCTGAGCACCGGCTGCGCAAAAGCGGAGGGAGGGAAAGTAAATAAAATAAAGTCGTTGTCCCCCCCACACACACACTCTCCCTCCCTCGGGAGCAGGACCCCCTTGAGAAAGGGGGCGGGGTGCTGTTTGAATCACTGAGGTACACTGAGTCCAAGCAAGTCCAAACCCACCGACTCAGGAAGGGGGGCTGGAAATGGAGGGGGGTGTGAGTGTACTGGGGAAATATATACCATTGCTTCACTTCCCTGGAAAAGTAGTTACAATAGGCTTTACTTATTAGGGGGCGGGGGGGGGGGGACGTTTTGTAGAAACTTCCAAAAAGTATCTCCATATAAACCGTGGGGATTTGGTCCTCTTAGAGAACAAAATAAAAGATACTAAAAGTGCACAGTGGGGGGCCCATTTTGTTTGAATCCCATTCCAGAAGAGATCTTCGCCTTTCTGGGCCCCATTAACTTCTAGGGGTCAAGCATTGCCCCGCCCCCACACCCTAGTCTCCTTGGGGAGCACGCGCTAGAGGGGCAGGGGTACTCCACGTGGGAGAAGACTCCGACACACAGATCCAGAAGTGGGCGTGGCCAGCTCTCTGCAGGAGGGTGACTCGGCGAGGCGCCCCCCAATTCCCTCCGTAAAATCTCTGCAACCTGGAAGTCGCCCCCCTCCTCCACCGCCCGGGATTGGACTTGAAATTGCTTGTCCGACCGGGAAGGACAGAGCCGCCTTGTCAGCCGTTTGATCTCCAGCCGGCGAGGACAAGGGGAGTTGTGGGGGCCTGCCCGTGGCCCGGGGACAAGGCCAGGCTGCAGTCCCCGAATGCACCGCCCCCTCTGGCGCTCTCCTCCAGGAGACCAGCTGGGTCTACTGGATAACCTGGCCTCCCGCGCTGGGCGCGCCAGGCGGCTGGACCCCTCTCCCTTCCCCGGCGGCCAGGGCGGGTCGGGGCCTGGCTGGGGCTGGGCTTTGCGGTGAGCCTGGCTGCACCGGCCTCACCCCACCCCAGGCCCGGCGCCCCAGCTTCAGCCCAGGGATTGGCGAGGCTGCAAGGCCTCCAGGCGAGCCTCCTCTCCCGGGGCCTGTTCCTCAGGGGGCACCTGGGCTTTTGTTCATCCTGAAAGCCATGGGTGGGGCCATAGCACCAACGAAGCACGTAGTGCTAGGAGCAAGGACAGAAGGATCTCTCTTCCCTTCCCACTTCACCCAAAATAATCACTGTACAATGTGCCCCAGCTTGCAGTTTCCAGCACCGTGGGCTGCAGGGTCCACGGACCGACGCGAAGATGAGCCGAGGAGATGCTGGGTGGGGGCGGATTTGCACCTCCTTCGGCGGGCCGGGCAGGCCGCGTGCAGCTGCCCACCACCACACACACATGCACCCCTCCACGTGGTCAAAGTCTGGAAGCGTCTCCTCTCAACCCATCCCGCCCTACCGAAAAAAAAATATTTCCAGGAAAGTGGCCAGAGTAGGGGGTGGGGGGGAGTAGCCCACACCCACCCTTTAATAAACCTCCCAAGAAATCCATAAACTGGCCTTACTCGCACACCCCTGTTTTAAAGTGAAAGATCAATTAGCCTTCTTTTTTGTAGGCCCGCAGATGGGAAAAAAGGCCAGAGAGGGTTAGGACTTTGCCCAAAGGCACACAGCACATCGGGGGCAGGTATGGACTTAAAACACAGCGGCGCGCCAGCTGCAGCCTGCCACCTTGGGCGCGAAATTCAAACACGTGGCCCTCACCTTCTGGGGGAGATGGCTACAAGGAAACCGGACCGAGCCAGAGGCCCAGGACGAGAGAGGAGGAAGAGCTCGCTTAGGAAACAGGGAGCATGGGGCCCCGGAATCAGCTGCCTACTTGAGCACGGATGGGGACCCGGAAAGGTGCAGCGGGAAGCGGCTGAACAGCCGGGACTGACCCCGAGCACGTCCTCCCGGACTGCGCGCTACCCCGACGGCGGGAAGGCGCGCGCACTGATGGCCGGGTGCAGGGCCCGAGCTGTCGCTGCCGCGCGCTCCACCTCGCGGCCGCCGACAAGAGGCCTCCCTGCCCGGGCCTGCGCCTCCTCCTCTCCCAGGAGGCGGCCGGGAGCAGGCAGCGAGCGATCCCAGCTGCCACTCCAGTCTCCTCCTTTTCCCTCTGCCCGTCTGGCACGGCATCATTTGCGCTGAAAGCTGTTAATGTCTGGTCTCACAGCTCCCCCTTTAGTCTTCCTGCGCTCCGTGTCTCGCGTTCCCAGCCAGATCAATAGCCGCCTCTCGGCCGACCTTGACCTCTCGCTCGACCCTGCCTTGCTTAGGCTACTGGCTCCGGGGTACGCTCTCTCTGCTCTCTCTGCGCTCGGTCAGACCCGGCCTTTGCTCAGGACCCCAGGTCAGGCAGATGTATCCGAAACCCCCTCAGACAGAGCTACCCCTCTACGAAACCTTGTTTAGTATAAAGGTCACTCCCCTGACTCCCCAACACACACACACACACACACACACACACACACACACACACACACACACACACACACACACACCACATGCAGCACAAATGACTAACCGGAAGAGAAAAGGTACAAACGTGGGCCTGAACCCCTTGCATAAAACGCTAACATCATTTCTCCTGTACTTGCTAGAGGCCTACTATGTGCTTTGCCCTTGACACAGAACTTAATCAGAAACAAATGAGAAAGAAAGAATATAAATAGGAATGTCACAACGCTTTTTGAAGTCCCAAATATTTCCCTATTTCTTCCTCGGCTTCACACTCCATTCCCAGAGCGAATCCCCCACAGCCTCCATCCCTTTAAGGATAGGGGAATCGTTCTTTACAGAGGAAATCTTCAGAAATTAAAATTCATTTCGCCGAATCAAAGTGCATTTTTATTAACTTGTGTAGGGTTCTAACCCCCTGTGTGTGCCTTGGGTAACATGCCACAGAGTGGGGGCGGACTGGTCGGACCGCTCCACCCCACCCCACCCAGAAAAAGGCTTTTTGCTTAAAATTCCTTGAAGGATTCTCAATCCTTGGGCACAGACTGGGGCCCGTGGAAGAGTGTGCAATGTTGTCTTTGCCTTCTGAGCTGTTACATTTCATCTTATGTCTTTACGAAAATTTGGAAAGATCTAGATCTAGAAGTGTCAGGGGAAATGGGAAGTCCTGGAGTCCTTGCAGGAAGAAAACTGACATTTCATTTGTTTTTGTTATTTTTCTCCTTAACAGGGATCCTCCCTCTGAGATGTAGACAGATAACTTTGGAGCTGTCTGAGGGCCCAACAACACAGCTTACCAAATTACTTTGGGTTTCGTTTCTGGTGCTTAAAAATAAAATAAAATAAAAAATCCATGCAAAGAGAAGGCGAATCTTCTCATTTTCACAAGTGTGGGGCAAACTCCGAAGTAAGCCATGCCTGCTGCTTTCTGTTCCCCCGGGGTTTTAAACCTTATTGACTGTGAAGACTCGAAAAAGTCAATAAACGCTCTAAGGAGAGCACCCACACCTTCTTTTTGAGAACTGGCTGCGGAAACCCTAAGCAAGTCCTATACACATTAGGAAGGCTCCCAAGGTGGTCTTGATGTCTTTCCTGCTAATTTAGAACCATTTTAAGTTATCGTGTAGGAGACGCGTATGTGGTTTGTAGAGTCGGTTTTCTCCCCCCACCGTTATGTGGGGGCCCCCTGGGGTCCAAGTCAGGCCCTCAGGCTTCTCAGCAAAGGCCTCTGCAGGCTCAGCCTTCTCTCCAGCACTGAGAGACCCTTCATAGATCAGACTCAGACTCCCTGGTGGACAGGAGGGGCCGGGGAAGCCTTCTTGCATACTGCCTAGAATTATCACATGTCCTTCCTGGGTGCCGGAAAGGCTTTGCTGGATCACCGAGGGTCTAGGCCTCGGTACCTAAAGGCTAAACAGGACCCCAAAACTTGCCTCTCAGCCTTCTTCGGTCTGTTCTTTGTACATGTCCAATGTAAGATCCAGGCTTCTGTTAAAATACGAGACACTGTATCTTCTTTTCCTTTTCTTTTCTATGTTTTCTTTTCCTTCGAGTAAGACTCGGGCTCGGTACCGTAGTAGATTTTCGACAATCATTCAACTGCTTGAAATAGGTTTAAATAGACGCCAGGACACACACACACACACACACACACACACACACACACACACACACACACACAGAGGCATTCCTGACTGCTTTCTTTAAGTCTTCAGCCTAGAAGATTTAAGCCGGTTTCACTGCTCCTGATTCATGTTTTATTTTCCTTTAAAAATATTTTTAATTAAAAAAAAAAAAAACCTTGCCCAGCTCCCAGCTCCCTGTATGTGAAAAAGACTGACACCCACATTGAATGTTCCTAACTCTGGCCCTGTCATCAAAAGTGATATTGAATGGCTCAGTACTAGAGGATCTGGAACTATTTCCACGGCTTTCTCACCTCGTTTGGAATTTTCTTGCCTTGCTAATTTTAATTCCTCAGTTGAGTCATCAATTCACATAGGGTAGGGGAGCCATCACCCTGTTGGGAGAGACACCAGCAAGCCTGTGTCCTCGCCTCTCTCACAGACAGGGGTCAGAGTGGTGGGTACTTACATCTCCATGTGTGCAGCATGCAAAGAATCTCTCTGCTCATTCCCTTGGTCTTCTGTGTGTCTGGTGTGACTTAAAAATGCAGAGGGGACCGTTTCCCTGAAGATTTCCCATTTCAGACACGTTCACACGTGGTGCCCACCCAGGAGCCTGAGTTCAGTGGTCTGGTGACCAAGCAACCTGCCCTATTTAGAGCAGAGACAAGGGTGTGGGGAGGCTCAGAAGAGTGAAAATGGTTCCTTTGGGGGAGACACCAGGATTCAGAAGGGAATTTTCAGTTCCGACTCTGGCTGTCAGGCTGTAGCTGAGGACTGGGGCGACACGGAGGTGGCTTGGTGATAGGAGATGGGGAGGGCTGGGGATGGAAGCATTTGTAAGAATCACCTTCCCAACAAGGGTTTGATGAGGCTGTGAGGATTAATTAGTTTGTATCCTTAAGCAGTATGAGAAGGAGGAAGTTTCGGGAAATGTTAAGTTGGAGTTGTAGACAAGTTTGATTCAATTGAGAGCTGCCCCCACCCCCAAGGCCCAGGATGTGCAAACTCCTATCTGCGCGCTGTGATGCACTACAGAGGAAGTGAGGGGGAAGGAGGGCTTCGAGAAGAAAGGAGAAGGAACCAGAAGCATGAGTCAGGCTAGCATCCCCTCCCGAAAGGCGCAAGCCTCAGCTAATGAGAACACTGCAAGGGGGCGCTTATCAAAAAAAAAAAAGAAAGAAAAAGAAAAAGCCAGCCAACACCTTGCTTCAGTGATGCCTTCCAGAGCTGCAAAAGCAAAAGGGGGGCTCATCTGTCGTTCCGTCGTTTTAGAAACAGCCACACACATGCTTTCGAGTGAATTCAACAAAGATAGCTTGCATCCTAGGAAATATGTAGCTGGCTTTCCCCCTGTTGGAGAGGCAAAGGTTGGGACTGCAAACCCACTAACAAACAGTTCCTGGGGGTTGTGGGGTGGCAGCATCTCTATGGTGCATAGAAGTTTTGAGATGTTCCATATTAAACATGCATTGTTGAGAGGTAGAGGCAGGAGGATCAGGTGTTCAAGGTCATCCTCAGGCACATAGCACGTTCAAGGCCAGCCTGGACTGCCTGAAACTCTGCATCAAAAGAGAGAGAGAGAGAGAGAGAGAGAGAGAGAGAGAGAGAGAGAGAGAGAGAGAGAGAGAGAGAAAGTAAATATAATATAAAATAAAGCAAAAATGTACGTTGGCTTGAAGATGCATTTTGGGTACCATTTACAAGGCAGACAATTTACCACAACAAAAGACGATGAATGCCGCCCAAGGGAACTAAGACGCTGAGTTGCCGTACATTCTGATATTAGTTTAATCTGGGTCTTTAAAAAAAATGATTTCACTGTGATCTTAAGCCTTCGGGATCTTTGAAACAACAATGGCTTCTAAAATATAGATGTGATGATAATATTCCCCATCTAAACCTGCAACAAAGCCCCCCGCCTTGTGCTTGCGGTCTCCCACGAGTCTCTCAGGGAGCATTTAGAGGAGCGGAGGAGCCCATTTCCGGCCTGTGTCCAGCTCACCCTGACGATTTGGAGTCTAAACAGGGCAGATTTATGGTCAACTGTTAAAATCTGCATTTGGACCCCCAGATGTAGACGGTGGCTTCGTCAGCTGCTGGGATTCGGCACAGGCATCTGCAGCTTCATTATTTCTATCTGCTTAACAGGGACAATTAGAGAACAGAAGAGTGGGGACGCCTGTTTGGGGACTGGTTCGGTATTGTACCCAGACCACACATTCCGGCTGGGAAGGAAGACAGTAATGTATAAAGCATTAGTGGATTTAACACTGTGCGCCGTGCTTGGGGGATCGAATTGTCAATGTTTCTGGCAAGAACTCACACTCCAATTGAAATCTATCACACACCTTAATTAGCTCCGGGTACCTAAATGCACCCAACCCAGAGGCAAGTTGGAAAGCTGAGGAAGAGGGCAGGAGCGAGCAAAGAGGCCATGCGGGACCTGCCCCCGGGGGCTCTGCGGCCCCGGTTTTCAGAATGGTGTGCACCAGCCAAGAGGCTAAGACGGCAAATGTGACTCACAACCCCAGCCCCAGAGAACATTGATGGAAGGCGTTGGGATGGCTCGACCCACGTTGACTAAAGGGATGAGACGAGGCCGTGGTGACACAAAGCTGTTGCCGACAGAAACTGGAGCCTTTTTTTTTTTTTTTTTTTTTTTTTCTGAGCCAACCATCCCACCTGGACCTCGGCACAAATTATTGTTTTCAATTACCACCTGTGTATTCCTTCCCATGCAACTTATTGATGTAAAATTACTGCTACAGCGGTATAAATAAGTTATACCGCAGTTGTAAAATGGAAGAAATTTTGTTGTAGCAATTATGTTCAGCAAGATGACAAAATAAATTTCCAGAGCTGTGCCTGCAGTAACCTGGGGAATTTAAACCTCATAATTTCCATTCATTTCAGATAATTTGGAGTAATTTCTATATGTAATAACTTTGTAATGAAAAACAGCAGTACTGAAGTGATTTCACTCTGTTTTCTCCTCCTATGGTATACATGGCACAAAATGAATGATAAAAATAATATTTCCTTTTTATATGTGTGTGTGTTGAGTAATTCCTTCAGTAAAAATCATAAACTAATACCCAGACTAAATCTCTGTCCACAAAATGAAAAATAAATTGAGTTAAAGAAGTGAGGGAGAATAGAAGGCTTTGGATGTTTTATTGTGACTTTATTGAGTTGTCTGAATCCCAGGCTCTTCCTGATCTCTGAAGGTTACTGTTCCCAAGCAAGAGATGCAGAAAGGCAAGATCCCCAGGCTGCCATGGGGGACCTGCAGGGAGACCCCCCAAGACTGAAAGACCTTTCCCAGGTGACCATTTCTCAGCCCTAGCATGTTCCGATAGTCTCTCTCCTCCCTCAGGGAGCAGGCTCAGGGGAATGGCTGACTCCCATCAAAGTCCTTTTTAAAAAAATAAATAAATAAGGTAGATGTATTTATTATTTTGTGCATATGGATGTTTTGCCTGCACATATGTATGTACACCATGTACATAGCAGGGGCCTGCAAAGGTCAGAAAAAGAGCACTGGATCCCCTAGAACTGGAGTCATGGATGATTGTGAGCCCCATTTGGGTGCTGGGAACTGAAACTGAGTCCTCTTCAAGAGAAGCAAATAATCTTAACCACTGAGCCATCTCTCTAGCCCTACATCAAGTCTTTTAACAGCAATGTTCACTGACACTAGGGAAGACCTGTTAGGTTGGACAGTGGCCGAGTAGGTTCTGACATATTTCCTCTTTTAATTAAAGACTTGGCAAGGTGGCACTGTGCTCCCCCACTGCTCTGGTGCCCTGCCAGACCTCTGCCAGCGACGCATGCGACTGATGTGCTCAGCCTCTGAACGCCACATGTTATTCATCAGAAGCTCCTACTGAGCTGTGAGAAGGTGACAGGAATTACAGCATCTGCATTAGCTCCAGGCTCCGTGCAATTAGCCTCCGCCACCACCACGGCGCCCATCAAGAGCTTCTACTAAGTGAAAAATAGAGGCTAGGTCTAAAGTTGGACTTGAGAAGTGATGGGCAGACCTGTAGGCACTCCCCTCCTACCAGCCCCAAGGGCTCCTTACTGCCTGGAATGAGAGATGCTTCCTAGCCTGCAAACCTTGCCCTCCCTCTCTACCCCCAGGATGTAGATGGGCAGGCATGGGCTCAGAAAAGGTGCCCACTTGCTGAGTGATATGGGGAAATACACAATCATCTCTGATTTAGAGTCTCTTTGACCCCCAGCCTCAGCACACCTGTGAGCGGACAGTCCTGGCCTCTGCCATCCAGCAGTCCCATTATAGGTAGGTACCCTGCGGCTTCTCTTTGGACAAACTTTAAGAAGCCCTCTGTGACTGAGATGGCAATTCTGCTTACCAGCTAATACCCAGGTTTCTAGGTCAAACAAACCTAAACTCAGGACATCAGTTCAATGACATCAAACAAAAGACAATGACAGTTATCTAGACTGGGAACATTGCAGCTCCCAAAATGTACTTGTGGCAGAGTGTCCCCATTACCGAGTTCCCCACTGAAATCCTCTCCAGGCTTCCGGGGTCACAGAGATACTCCATGCAAATATGTTTATCAGGGGGTTTGTATTAGCTCGTTCTAGGAAGAGATAGACCATCAGGCTAAAGTCAGTCTCCCAGAGACAGAATTCCAGTCCCCTAGGCCTGTCTCCACAAAATCATGACTCTGTCCTCCACCCAGCCCATTCCAACCATCCACCAATTGAGAAGAGGGTACCAGAGACGTCACTAGACCTGGGACTGGAATAGGGATGCCAAGAAGTCCACGATGGATCAGGGCATGAAGGAGGTTCAAGGTAAACCATGAACCAAGCAAGGACACCTGCTTAACGGAAGAGATAGGCAGGGCTCGTGGGTGGTAAAGTCATGACCTCGGCCAGACAAACAAGCAACAGAGAGAAAGTGGTGAGGAGTGAAAGATGGAAGTGTCTGAGACATCGTCTCAGACAGCACAGAACCAAGGGAATAAATGGACTCGGAGTACATGGGGCCCAGGGGAAGGTTCTGATGGTGAACTTTCAGTCCCGCAATCTCCTGATACTGGAACAGAGTTTAAAAGCATGTAAAGTCCTTTTGCCTCTTCGATTGAGTTTGTTCTTCCAGGAATTTTGTAAAGTGTGCAGGGTGGGCACCAACATGGTGCCCATATCCTCACAGACCTAGGTTCAAGTCCATACTGCATCTGCCATAAACTAGGTGCCCCGGGGGCAAACAGCTGGCCTCCTAAGCATCCAGGTCCTCTTGTGTCAGGCCCCAGCCTCAGTCAGGAGTTCCTCAGGTAACCACACAGAAAGTCCCCAGTACAGGACACAGCACAGTGTAGGCATTTAGCAAATTACAGATAATACCATAGAGGTCAATGTCCAATGTTCAGTTTTACAGGAAATCACATTCATTTCAACCCATGGCACATACCTCAACATTTTCATTCAAAAGGAGAAATTTTCACCAGACCCTGTGAATATATTCAGGTAATATTAATAAAGTGGCTTGTCATGGTCCATCTGTGTTGCTATAGCAATTTATATAGAATGGAAATGCACTTCTCACAGCTCTGGGGGGTAAAAGTCGAAGGTCAAAGGCCAGTTAGGATTTCTAGGATGGTGCTATGTCTGCCAGAGAAGACCAGTATTACATCTCGTACGGTCCAAGGCAAAGAGAAGGGTTCTCCCAGTCTCTTTTTAAGGGACTAACCATTTGTGATGATGGAGCCCCTTGATTCAATCCCCTCCTACTTCTTAATGTCACATAATAAGAAAGGAGAATCAATATGAATTTTGAAGGGTGCATGTACAAGCCATCCACATCTGCTCAGTGCTATAGGCCAGGCTGAAGGTCAAGAATATGCAGAGAAAACATCTACGTCTATACCTCCAACTGCCTCATCTGTCACTTAGGCTGAGCTGCTTAAAGCCAACTGCTCAGGCTCCACCTACTCGCCTCTGTCTGTGACTGACACATGCTGGCACACCAAAGTCTGAGCCATCTAGGTCTTAATATAAAAGACCAAATACATCTGCAAACTAGGAAAACCATACTCATGGACAGTGGCAGAAGAGTGTCTCTGTGGCTAGTGGGTGTCCTCTCAGAGGGCCAGTCACCATTATTCATTTTCTCTTGGTCACCAAGTTCGCAACAGGCTGCATTTGTGGTTTTTATAATTCAGCTCCCAAAATTAAAAATGTCAATTTGCAGCAGCTGAACCATTTGGTTCAGAGAGGGGGAAGAGGGAGAGGGAGAGGGAGAGGGAGAGGGGGAGAGGGAGAGAGAGAGAGAGAGAGAGAGAGAGAGAGAGAGAGAGAGAGAGAGAGGAGGAGGAGGAGGAGGGGGAGGAGGAGGAGGAGGAGCAGACTACTATTGGAGCGGGGAAAGACTAGGTAGAGATTTGAAAATGACACCCACCCTTTTGCTAGGATCACAGGATAAGAGGAACTTCTGAAACAACTTGATCATCCTGGCCAGCTGCCGAGATCCTGAAGTTTTAAGTCTACATGTTTCCTTTCGTCTTTTGTTTTCTTTCTTTTTAGGACAAGACCTTTTTATATAGCCTGGGTTGGCCTCAAGTTTCCAATCCTCCGGCCTCAACTTCTCTGGTGTTGGAGTCAGAGGCATGTGCCACCATGTCCAGGCTTCAATATACATGTCTATAGTCTTACGCAACAGTTCTTCATCCAAGAATCAGGCACCGGTGACTGTTCTGCGAAACAAGGGAATGTGACCTTGAGATCCAGTACGGTTGCTGTCCATCCCCTAGTGAGACCGCCCTGGTACGGAGGGATCTGCAGGACTTGGTTGGATGGGACCTGTCCTAAGAAACAGCCCCCTTTCCTGTCCTAGTTCTACACAGGGACTTTTCACCACCCGAGATGGATAAACATTTATTAACACCCAGTAGGAAATGTCCCCAAAGCTGTCCTCAGAGGGTCCAAGCTGGCTGATTTAGATGCCCTCTGGGGACAGTGGCAGAGCCTGGTGGCCTTGCCCTCTTCCTGCACAGAAAGCAGCCTCATTGGGCTCGCTGCCGGGCAGAGCTCAGGGTAGAGACGTGCAGACACGCAAAGTGAGGAATGTCCTCCCGGGCCTCCTCCTCCTTCCCACCTTCTGTCATCCGGGGAGATAATTCATTTATGCAGTGCTCACAGAAGACTGACATTTTCAACTTTTTCAGCAGAATAAATTTATAAGGTAAATTAGGGGGTGGGAGCCTGAGTGTCCTAGGCAGATTCAAACTGGTAATTACCGAGGGCCTAATTATGCATTCCCTACAGAGCCTTCTGGAATGGGGAAGGTTACAGGATGGCTCCCGTTCTTCCTGCAGAGGACATTCCCCCTGAACTTCCAGGAAGCCTTGCACCAAACCTCTGAGAAGCTTTTGCTCCCATCTCTGAGCCTTCTCCGGAGGCCCTCATGTCCTCAACTTCCACAAGACTGTAGAGCAAATCCTCACCCCGCAGTGCCCACCAAGAGCCAGAAGCCCAGACATCCCTCAGACCCTGGGTCTCGACTTGAACAAAACAAAAGGCACAATAGCAGGCAGGAAATTTGAGACCGTCCTCTGTCCCATCTTCCCAAGGTCCATCCAGGAGTTCTAGATCCAAACTTGCCGGCTTCTGGGATCAATGCATCCTGTTCACTGACGTATCTACAGGACCCAGAGCACTATGAGGACAGGATCTATGCTATGGTCTTCTCCATCTCACCGGAACTTGACTTGGCCTCAGTACAGCCAATGAACAAGCAAACAGGGAGGGAGGGGAGGGGGGAAGGAGGAAGAGAGGGGAAGGAGGAAGGGGAGGGGAGGGAGGGAGGGAGGAAGGAAAAGAAGGAGGGGTGTGGAAGGAAGAGGGGCCAGTGAAAGTACCTTGTGACCATCACTGAAGAGCAAACAGGCTGGCCTCAGCAAAGCAAAGCCCCGCCCTCCCCACACAGCACAGTGCACACCGGCTTTTGAAGGGATAGACGTATTTTGAACATAAAGCCTTCTTTTCTATTCACCCCCATCCATTTCCCACTATGCTCTCTGCTTCCAGGTGTCTTGTCATTCACTGTGTGTCACACTCTGTCAGGGATTCAGTTGTGCCCTCCCCCACCCAAATATGTTAGAGTCCTAAAGTCCTTACACTTGTCACTCTCGTGATGCTGTCGCAAGACACCTGACCTTAAAGAGCCCACTGTGGTTCAGAGCTTCACGGGCTTCCCTCAGTCCATCATGAGAAGAGGAGAAGAGGGCATGCGGTGAGCAGAGACACTCACATCACAGAAGCCTGGAAACAGAGAGCAAGGATGCCTGTGCTTGCTCCGGGCTTCCTCTTCCTCCTCTTCTGTCCCACCAGGGCCCCAACCTGGGTCCCCCCGTTTGTTAAGCCTCTCTGAACACCTTCAAAGGCATTAGACATCTACCCACTCACCATCCCACACTGTCATCCTAACATGGGAGTTCATCTGCATGGGATTACAGCCTGAGGCCAGAGGTCTTGGAAAGCAGGCTGACATGAAGGAAGTTTACCCGGTGAGGTGCAGCTGCAAAGAGAACAGTTGATAAGACCCACCAGATGCCCGAGAGCAACAACAGCTGGACAGAAGACATCCTGGCGCAAGCCATTCAGACTTATTCTGATGTCCCATCCGGAACCCTACAACACACAGCCTCTGGTTCCCACACAGCGCCTGCACCTAGTTCAGGCTTCAATTACCGCCACAGGATTTGGTTTAAATAAGAGTTCAGTACAGGAAACACTGGGGCTGAAGGATATTCACTGTGGTCCTCAAATCACACCTTCCCTCTGACCACATAACCAGCATCGACGTGAAGCTGATCCTAAAGCAAGAGACTCAGCCCTGAACCTTTGCAGCCCTGAGGTGTCAACTTGATGTGTGTGGTCAGGTTTCATTTTCATCGTAGAGAGAGAGCAGTGCTTCTCAATCTTCCTAACACTGCAACCCTTTAACACAGTTCCTCATGCTGCGGTGACCCCCCCACACAACCATAAAGTTATTTCCATTGCTACTTCGTGACTGCAATTTTGCTACTGCTATGAATCATAATGTAAATGTTTAATGTGCGACCCCTGAGGGGTCGCAGCCCGTAGGTTGAGAACCACTGGTGTCGAGCCTGAACCGGCTAGGGCTCCAAGGCTGGAAGGGCTGCTTCCTTGCAGCACTGAGTTCACACCCTGGCTTTGGTTAAGACCTGACCTACTTGTGACGGAGAAGCGTTTCCATTTGTCATTCCTGCACAGGGCCCTCCAACCCAGCTCCTGCAGGGAGAAGGACCGAAGGACACCTCTTGGTCCTTGGGCAGCCTCATCCCAGGGCCCACCCAAGGCAGGAGCCATTGCTGGTGGACTCCCTAGCAAACAAATAGAGAATTCACATTTCTGACCCGTGCTGGGTTCACACTCGGCCACCACCTGCTGCAGCTTTGATCAAACACAGCAGGCTGATATAGCTTAGGGGTCAGACTGTGACCTTCACAAGGCGTGCAGCGCAGGGTACAGGGACTGTGCCCCCCTACAGGACACTGGGCACTGGCTGCACATGTGACTTCTGCTCCCCCAGTGCCCCACACTGTCAGTCCAACAGAGTCCCCCTACACAATAGGGGAACCAAGATGGGCAACTTGCCAAGGGAGCACAGCCAGCAGAGGCAGACACTGGTCCTCACCCTGTCTACCTCGGCTGGTCAGGATGAGCCAGGCTGTGCTGCTGGAACAATCAACCCCCCACCCCCACCCCACCCCCATATCCAACGGGCTTACATCAGGGAAATTTGGCTTTCTACAGCCCTCTTGCTCTGCTAGCCACATCTGATGGACTCCAGGACCACCACACACAGGAAGGAGTCAGGGAAGTCACAGTAGCTCTTACGCTCAGAAGTGGCACCTTGCTCCTGTGCTCACAGCCTATTGGCCAGAGCTAGTCACATGACCCAATGTAACTGCAAAGGAAGCTGGGAAATGTATGCAAGCAGGTGCGTATCAGAGAGCTGTGCCTATGTATTGCCCTAGGAGTATGCTGGGATTCTCAGAGTGAACTGGAAGGGTAAATGACCTCACAACTCAACTAGGGACAAGGCCATGGGTGAAGGAAAGTGAGAAGGGCCAGGCTTCATCACTAACTACGTTTAAGCTTTTGCCTTCTGGACCATTGTGTTTTCTCTATTGACCAAGTGTGACTAGTTTCTTTACCACGCACTCCTGAGCTGACCACACCCCACAGGAGAGAGCTAGGGACTTCCAGGCTGCAGAGACATCTTGGTCTAGCAGCTGCTTCCCTTCTGGTGCTATCCCACCGCCAGGAGCAAGCACACCTGGGAGATTTAAAGGTGACCTGTTAGCTCCTTATGAAAAGTGGCTCACAGACAGACAGGGCCCCGCTAATTCCAAAACTTGCCCATTAGACATGTCAATCAGGAGTCTTGAAAGCTTTGTGAGGTGGGTGTGGAAGATAATGTAACGACACCCAGGTTTCCCTTCAAAGCCCTCAAAACAGTGTTTGATGGATGGATTTGGAACAGAAATTCTAAGCTGGAAAGAGCCAGGAGATAATGCAGTCCACCTACCTCAAGGGGGAGTTGGAGGCCAAGCGGTGGCGGGGATGGTAGAGCCCAGGGCAATGCGTGAGCCTGGAGGCAGGCCCTGGCTTCCAGGCCTGTGTCAGTGTCTCTACCCCACCCCACCCCAACTTTTCCTTACCCTGTCAAGCAACAAAAGGGTACCATGTTTGGGGAAGCACAGAAATCCGTTTTCAGTCGGCCTGACAGAGGCTCGGAGACAGTGGGTCCAGCTTCCCAGGATGACACTGGGTGATGAATGGGTGGGGCCATATAGAGACTCTTTAGCCACCAAAGAGGGAAAGGCACTTACTCCTCACAGTCTGGGGGCAAGGAAGTCCAAGATGAAGACTCTAGTGCAGTAGTTCTCAGCCTGTGGGTCTACAACCTTATTGAGGGTCAAATGACCCTTTCACAGGGACCATGATACCCTGTATATCAGATACCCTGAATATCAGATACTTACATTACAATTCATAACAGTAGCAATTACAGTTATGACGTAGCAAGGAAGTGATTTTATGGTCACCACAACATGAGGATCTGTACTGAAGGGTCAAAGCATTAGCAAGGTTGAGAACCGCTGCTCTAGCAGATCCAGGGTGTAGTGAGCACCCACTGTGTGGCTTGCCTACTACCTTCCTGATGAGTCCTCAGCAGTGGAGAGACAGCATGGTGGAAGTGTCTCCTCTGATAAGGCCACTAATCCATGGGTGGGGCTCCATCCCTTTTTAATCACTGTTCATTGCTATGAGAAAATACTTGACAAAATCCACTTAAGGCAGGGAGCATTTTTTCTGGCTCACGGTGGAAGGATGCCATCTATCACAGTGGAGACGGCATGGCAGCTGGACCTTAAGATAGCTCATCGCAAGTGTCCACCCTCAGGAAACAGAGAGAGATGAATGGTGGTGTTCGGCTCGTCTTCTCCTTTTTACTCAGTCCAGGGTCTCATCCCAAGGAGTTGTGCTGCCCCCTCTTCAGTCAACCAGATCTAGATCATTCCTCCCAGAGATAAAACCTAATCCAGATAATCCCTTATAGGCACGCCATAGGCTTGTCTCCTAGGTGACTCTAGAATCTGTCAAGTTGAATATTAGCCCTCACAACTCCCATGACCCTCTCCAAAGACCCCAGCTCTTGCTTCATACCATCATACTAGGGTTCCAATGTTCAGATGGAAAGGTCACATTACTCTGTTAACAACTTCCAAGTTCTCTGCCCCTACTTACCTTCATCATGGCCTTGGGGCTCCTGTTCAAGGCCTGAGGGGCCACCCTCACCCCAGACAAAGAATCTTCCTGCTGGAAGGTCATAGCACTCTCAAGGAGTCCAAGGACTTACTTGTAAGAGAATTAGGCATTCAGAGGGCAGAGGACCTGCAGTCTCCCCGATGCTTAGTGGGACCTCAATATGGAAAAGCCCCATCCAAACAACCCTTCTGTGTCAAACATGACATCCTAAGAACTTGTCTCAGCTAGTCAACCATGCTCTTGTGCATGCTAAATCTCCCCCTGATGTCAAGCACCAGAGAGAATGAAAACACGCCAAGGTTTTAGGGCCCCTGCCAGAAGGCAAAAACTGTCTCTAAGGAAGTGTACTGTCATTGGCAGGATGGACAGTGTCCCACTGTGCATAGGAACCCTGAGAATTCAAGTTTCCCACCTGTCACCGTTGGGGAAATAAAGGCCTTGGCACAGATTCTGCAGAGAGAAATGGGAAGAGGTGGGGCAGGACTGGGGGTGCAGCCACCATTGGGGAGAGGGGACCAACTATAACTCTCTGCATATCCCCTTTGGTTGTGAGGTGAAGAGGATGTGGGGCCACCTTTGAAGCTCAGTGGCCAGGGAAGAATGATCATCCAGGCTACAGGCTATGAGGGGCTGGTTACTAGAGTACTGGACACTATACATTGACGGCAGCCATGTGGAGGCCCCTGGGGGTCTTGGAGAGATCTTATGTAGCTCTGAGCACAAGTACGGATTGGTTGGACCTCTCAATTCACACTCCCTCTTTGTACACAGCAGCACTACACACAGCTTCAAGGGTCATCTCCAGGTGTGCCCAATGCCCCAGCCCCAGCCTGGCCTCCACATACCCCACCACCTGCCTCTCCTCGCTCTGAGCCTGAGACTGAGTTCTGAAACTCATTGCTGTGCTGGTTGGCTTCTGACAACTTCACACAAACCTAGACTTATCCAGGAAGAGGGAATCTCACCTGAGGAATTACCTCCATGCTATTAGCCTATAGGCAAGTCTGTGGTGTTGCAGAAGATGTGAAGACGTGTCTTTGCCAAGGTGCCTTCTGATAGGTTTAATAAAGAGGTGGACAGCCAGTAGTTAGGCAGGAGGTTTAGGCAGGACTTCTGGACAGAGAGAGTTCTGGGAAGAAGAAAGGGACACAGAGGAAGCAGAACATGCAGGAGGAGAGGTAAAAGCCATAATCCACATGGCAGCACGTAGATTAATAGAAATGGCTTAAGTTATACAAGCTAGTTTAGCCTAAGCTTAGCAAGAAGTCTCTGTGTTGTTATTTGGGAGCTGGCTGCCAGGACAGAAAAAGACTCGCTACACTGTAGAGGCATTTTTTTTTAAATGGTGGTTGATGTGGGAAGGCCCAAACCACTGTGGGCGATACTACCACTAGGCAGGTAGTGTTGGTGTATAAGAAAGCAGGCTGATGAGGAAATTGTGAGGAGCAAGACAGTAAGCAGAAATCCTCTATGGCTCTGCTTCAGGTCCTGCCTCCAAGTTCCTGCTTGAGTTCCTGCCCTGACTTCTTTTCATGATGAACTGCCATCAGGACACGTAAATCAAATTAACTCTTTCCTCCCAAGTTACTTTTGATGCTGTTTCATGGCATCAGAAAGCAAACTAAGGCACTCCCCCAAATTTGCTATTTCTTAACTCAGTGGTTATTGTTCAAACCAAACCCCAAACACCATCCTGGCCTTTCTCTTGCCCCCGCCCCAGTCAGCATCTAACCCATCACTGCATCCTATTGACCCTGCCTTTACAGCCCTTCTGCAACACAACCAGTTCTTACCACCTTCCTGAACCAAGAGACATCTAACCTGGTCTTTTTCTGACCCAGCATCTGTTCTGAAGAGGCGTTAAGCCTTTGAGGTATAACACTGTCTTAGTTAGGGTTTCTGTTCCTGCAATGAAACTCCATGACCAAAAAGCAAGTTGGGGAGGAAAGGGTTTATTTGGCTTAAACTTCAGAATTACTGTTCATCATTGAAGGAAGTCAGGACAGGGCAGGATCCTGGAGGCAGGAGCTGATGCAGAGGCCATGGAGGGGTGCTGCTTACTGGCTTGCTCTACATAGCTTGCTCAGCCTGCTTTCTTATAGAACACAGGACTACTAACCCAGGGATGGCACCACCCACAATAGGCTGGGCCCTCTCCCATTGATAACTAATTGAGAAAAATGCCTTAAAGTTGGATCTCATGGAGGCATTTGCTCAACTGAGGCTCCTTCCTCTCTGATGACTCTACTTTGTGTCAAGTTGACACACAAAATCAGCCAGTACAACTAACCCCTTGTCAACTTGACACACAAACACATCACTATTAAGCCACAACCCTTCCTTTCTTATTCATCCCCAAGATCTCACATTAAAATCATAATTTTGAAAGTCCCACAGTCTTTACAAACTCAAACACATTAAAATTTTAGTCTTTAAAATATCCAATCTTTTTTAAAAGTTCAAGTCTTTCATCTGTGGACTCCTTTAAAAATCAAAATTAGATTACTTTCTTCAAGGGGGAAGAACCAGGGCACTGTCCCAATCTGAACCAAGCAAAATCAAACTCCATTAGTATAAATAACTCAATGTCCTATCTGGGATTCACTCACGATCTTCTGGGCTCCTCCAAATGGCTTGGGTCACTTCTCCAGCTCTGCCCTCTGCAGCACACGCAGCTTGTCTTCTAAGCTTGGACAGGCTTCACTGCTGCTGCTGTTCTTGGTGCTCTTCCCATGGTACTGGCATCTCCAAAATTCTGGGGTCTTCTGCAGCAACTGGGCTGCACTTTCACCAATAGCCTCTCATAGGCTCTCTTCATGGTGCCAAGCCTCAACTCCTTTGCATGACCCCTTCAGTCCTGGACCTTCAACTACCACTGAGGCTGCACCTCCACCAATGGCCTCTCCTGGCCTCTCACAGTGCCAAGCCTCAGCTGCCCTCCATGACCCCTTCATGCCTCCGAAACCAGTACCACCTCTTACACATTACCAAGTTTGGCTGCTAGCATAAGTTATAACCTTGGCCACCTCTGGAACACAACTTCTCTGTG